TCTGAAAGCAATCCTATAGGTAACCCTGTGAAAAGGCAAATTCACAACTCCAGTCCCCAGTTTGCCTGTATCATCAGGTTTTATATATTTTAAAAGGGGATAGGCCCTTGTATAGTTAAGACTTCTATCTCAATTTCAAAATAGAGGAAAGGCTATTGCAGGGCTGACAACAGAGCTGACTATAGGTGGGTTCTCCCATGTGCTCCAAGAAACACCCATCAGCCAGAAGCAGGCCAGTCTACCTGACTTGTTCTCAGATGCCCCACAGTTCCATCATCCATCCAGGAAAGAACATTCAAAAGGCAAAATTTGTGAGGCCCACAGAAAGTGGGAGCCCTGTAGCTGTTCTTCACCTGTCTCTATAAACTAGCCTCCAGGCCAACCATTCTCTTCCCCTGCTCTTGGTCCCCAGAGAAGGGGTCCATCTCTCCCCCTTCTGTGCAACCGTTCAGTAGATAGTGAAGCCCCAAGGGCCTTCATGAATGTCCAGTTAAGCTATCCAAATAAGAGGGCCCTGGGCAGCTCCTGTGGCTCAAGGAGTAGGGCACCGGACCCGTATACCAAGGATGGTGGATTCAAGCCCGGTCCAGTTTTTTGGCCAAGCACTGGAAAAAAATAAAATAAGCAGGCCCTGTAACAGGAGAGAACACTAGGGGCATGTCACCATAGTGACATAGCTGTCATCCTTGGGCCCTATGGGCCCCATATTTGTCACCCTTGTCCTGTAATCATCCTGGCTGCAGTCCTCCCTGTCCAGCTGCATAACTGGAAGTTACTGTGGTGACCAAACCCATGTCAGCAGCCAGTAACTGGGAAATAGCTGCCAACAGCAAGGGACAGTGGATAGAAAAGACCAAAAGCAGAGACTCTCAGAATCAAGAGAAATACACAGGAGGAAGCCCCAGAACCCTGTTAGGAAAATAGTCCAACCTAATCTTACAACCCAGTAGGCAGGGCAGTGCCTGGGGCTCAGTGAGTAGGGTGCTGGCCCCATATATTGAGGGTGACGGATTCAAATCTGGCCCTGGCCAAACTGCAACAAAAAACCAGGCATTGTGGCAGGTGCCTGTAGTCCTAGCTATTCAGGAGGCTGAGGCAAGAGAATCACCTAAGCCCAAGAGCTGGAGGTTGCTGTGAGTTCTGATGTCACAGCACTCTACCAAGGGTGACAAAGTGAGACTCTGTCTCTAAAAAAAAAAAAAAAAAAAACCAGTAGACAGTCTACATCTTGCACAGACATGAACAATGGGGCCAATTCTTAGAGATGTTTACCGCTATGGGCAGAGTAGCACAGATGGAATGCATATTATGTAGCCCAACAACAGTGGGTCTTGCCTGGTTCCATGGCTCACATCTGTAATCCTAGCACTCTGGGAGGCTGAGGCAGGTGGATTGCTTGAGCTCATGAGTTCGCGACCAGCCTGAGCAAGACCCCATATTTTAAAAATAGCCTGGC